AAAGAAAGAAAGAAAGAAAGAAAGAAAGAAAGAAAGAAAGAAAGAAAGAAAGAAAGAAAGAAAGAAAGGAATAAGCAAATCTGTCAAAATCACAAAATGCTAAGTGAACTTGTAAGAAATAGTCACTTCTCCCCATCCAACCAAGAAAATTGTATTTTTATGCACTACCAATGCGCTTTGTTCAGCAATAAATAATTTAAAAGCAGACACAGAAAACACTAACATGTAAAATAAGATTTTTTAAAAAGAGCAAGAAATAGCTAGAGAAAATTTTAATTAAAATATGTATAAACCAGGCTGGGAAGGTGGCTCAGTGGGTAAAGCACCTTCCCCTCAAGCTTGAAGACCAGACTTCAGGTCCCAGAGTCTATGTAAAGTCAGACACAGTCGTGCACATCAGTAATCCCATGTTTCCATGGAGACGTGGGAGGCTCTTTGTTAGCCATTATTGTAAGCCAGTAAGGAGGATGGCTAGCCTGGCTTTCATAGTGGCAAACAAGAGACCCTGCTTCAAACAAGGACACCCCAGGTTGTCCTCTGACCTCCACAGGAACACTGTAGTACACACGCCTGCAGCCACACACATGCGCATACACGTGTTCAAGAACATACGTGCATATATGAACAACACAACAAGAATTTAAAAAACATGTATAAAACTCCTCTCCTAAGACCTACAAATCATCACTGGCTTAGTTTTCCAAGACACCTAAACAGAGAGGATGTGTTCATAACCAAATAAATTGGGATATATTCATGGACTGAACAGTTTAAGGAGTCAAGGATTCCCAAATTTATCTGGAAGGATAATGCATTTTCAACTTCATTCCTAACAAACATATTTTTGAGAGTAGAAATTGACATCCTGATTCTGAAATTTATATGGGAACACAAACTTAAAATAGGCAGGCCTGTCTTTAAAAAGAATGCTGTAGGAGGGCTCACACTACTAGATTTTAAGCATAAAGCTACAGAATTTAAGACAGTGGTACTGGCGTAAGGATGGCCAGTGAGCTCAGTAAGTCCAGGGACAAGCCCACCTGTGTGCACACACCGCGGTGCTTTCTAAAAAAGGTCACAATGGTCCTACTTGTAAACCCAACACTTAGGAGGCTGATGCAGGAAAGTCATGACTTTAAGGTCAGTCTAGATTGTGTAGTGAATTCGAGACCAGCGTGGATTACATAGTGAGACCCCTGTCTCAAAAAATGAAACTAAACAAATGAACGACAAGGCATGGCTATCATTCATTGACAGGAGCTGAAGGCCACTTATGGAAATGCCACTAAAGCAGCTGGATGGGCCTATGGAGTACAAGACAGAGATGCAGAACTCGAGGTATGAGCCTCTATGGAAGTTAGATATTTGTTAAATAGCAAACATGATAATGAGCAGTAAGAGAACAATATTGATAAGCTAATATCATCACAATTAAAAATGTATGTTCACTGAAAAGACAGGAAAATTATGATACGCAAGTAGAAATGTAGGCAATGTGCATCTCAGGATGAGAGTGTTTTGTTTTGTTTTTGGATTTTTTGAGCCAGGTCTCAGTCTGTAGTTCAGATTGTCTTGGAACTCACTATGTAGGCCAGGGTGGCCTTGAACCCATGGTGATCCTCCTGCTTCTGTGCCCAGAGTACTGGGATTACAGGCAGGATTACCATGCCTGGCTTGGCCACAGATTTTATTTGACATATTAAAAAAAAAACCTATACATACAAAAATAAATAAACAGCAATGGAAAAATGATCTGAATGGGCGCCACCCCAAAGTCAGTGGAGAGCCAATAAAGGCACATAAACACACTCAACCTCATGATCATCAGGAAAATATAAATTAGAGTGTACCGAGAAACCGCAGTGTTTTCAAGTGAAAACCAGTGCACAGAGGGAGAGAAGCAGATTCAGACGAAAAGACTCTTTTCCCACTGTCCTTTGTAAGCAGAAGTGTTATGCAACACGGTTTCAGCCGGTAAGATATAAGCAGTGTCGGCTGGTCAGTCTTCAAGAAAGCCACTTAAGAGAAAGGCAGAGTTAACATGAACCGTTCACCCCTCCCATTGTCCCTCCTGAGCTGTAACTGTAATGGCTGGAGCTCCCTCAATCATCTTTTAAAAAAAATATTTATTATAATTTATTCACTTTGTATCCCAGCTGTAGCCCCCTCCCTCAGCCCCTCCCAATCCTGCCCACCCTTTCTCTTCTTCTCCCATGCCCCTTCTCCAGCCCACTGATAGGGGAGGTCCTCCTCCCCTTCCACCTGATCCTAGCCTATCAGGTCTCATCAGGACTGTCTGCATTGTCTTCCTCTGTGACCTGGCAAGGCTGCCCCCACCCCACCTCATGAGGAGATGATCAAAGAGCAGGCCACTGAATTCATGTCAGAGACAGTCCCTGTTCCCCTTACTAGGGAACCCACTTGGACACTGAGCTGCCATGGGCTACATCTGTGCAAGGGTTCTAGGTTATCTCCATGCATAGTCCTTGGTTGGAGTATCAGTCTCAGAAAAGACCCCTGGGCCCAGATTTTTTTGGTTCTGTTGCTCTTCTTGTGGAGCTCCAGTCCCTTTCAGGTCTTTCTATCTCTCTCTTCTTCCATAAGATTCCCTGAACTCTACCCAAAGTTTGGCTGAGTCTCAGCATCTGCTTTAATACCCTGCTGGGTAGAGTCTTTCAGAGGCCCTCTGTAGGCAGGCTCCTGTCTTGTTCCTTGTTTTCACCTTCTTCCAATGTCTATCCCATTTGCCTTTTTGAATGAAGATTGATCATCTTACCCAGGGACCTCCTTCTTGCTTAGCTTCTTTAGATGTACAGATTTTAGTATGTTTATCCTATATTATGTGTCTAATATCCACTTATAAGTAAGTATATACCATGTGTGTCTTTCTACTTCTGGTATACCTCACTCAGGATGATTTTTTCTAGTTCCCACCATTTACCTGCAAATTTCATGATTTCCTTGTTTTTAATTGCTGAGTAGTATTCCATTGTGTAAATCTACCACAATTTCTGTATCCATTCCTCAGTTGAGGGACATCTGGGTTGTTTCCAGGTTCTGGCTATTCTGAATAAAGCTGCTACAAACATGGTTGAGCAAATGTCCTTGTTGTAAACTTGAGCATATTTTGGATATATGCCTAAGAGTGGTATAGCTGGGTCTTGAGGCAGCTCTGAGAAAGCATCTGGCAGTCATCTTAATAGACACAGAGTGGAATACTAAAATGAGCCTAGATCCCTGAAGGCATAAAGGAACTCCAGTCATGGCCTTCGGACTTCTTTCACACAGACACTCACTGTGACGAAGTGGGCCATGTGTCTTTTTGTTACAAGTACTGTGGTAAATAGTTTTATGTCAACCCACAAAAACTAAAGTCATTTGAAAGGAGGGAACCCCAATTAAGAAAATTCATCCATAAGAAATGGCTGCATGCAAGCTTGTAGGGCATTTTCTTCTTAGTGAGCAGATTGGGAGGGCCCAACCCCTTGGGGGTGCTGCCATCCCTGAGCCGGTGGTCCTGGGTTCTATAAGAAAGCAGGCTGAGCAAGCCATATGAACAAGCCAGTAAGTAGCACCCCTCCACGGCCTCGGCCTCTGTATCATCCACCTCCAGGTTCCTTCCCTGTATGAGTTCCTGTCCTGACTTCCTTTGATGATGGAGAGTGATCTGGAAGTGTAAGTCAAATAAACTCTTTCCTCTCCAACTTGCTTTTTTGAATAGCAAGAAGAATGACGAGTGAAATCTGCTTTACGGAGAGAGAGCGTGCATAAAATGCACAGGAGAAAGACCAGGTGCATGTGCAATTTGTTAAGACCTCTCTAGGGTGGTGGCACCATAATCTGTCGTTTCTATTCCTCAGCATACATAACACCTCCAAATTCCTAGTCTGTGATAGAATAGTTTTTACAAAAGGAAACTGTGGCCTGAGAAAAGACAAGCCACCGAGTCAACCGTAAGAGAAATAGAAGCAGGCGGCAGTGAGTGTAGCTCAGGCCATGGAGTGCTCGTCTATCCCGCAGGAGCCCTGGGTTTGGACCCCAGCACCATACTGCCCAGATGTGGTGGCACACATCTGTAATCCCAGCACTAGAAAGATGGAGGCCGGAAGATAAGGAATTCAAGGTCATGGCCCAGCAGGTAAAAGCGCTTGCCTTGCAAGCCACACCACTTGAGTTCAATCCCTGGAGCCCACAGTGAGGAGAGAACTCACTTTTGAAAACTGCTTACACACACACACACACACACACACACACACACACACACACACACACGTCATCTCTGGCTAGGTAGTGGTTTTTGAAGCCAGCCTGGAATATATGAGACCCTGTCTCAAATCAAAAAGACAAAAATGACAAATGACTCCCTGTAGCTCTGAGAAGACATGGTGCCGGCGCCTGCCATTCCCTTCAGTCCGGCCCCTTCTGGGCTTACATGGCTCACCTGGCTTCCCGAGCTCCTGCGTCCCTCTGTGCTTGTGTTTCCCAGGGAGGCGCTCTGCCCTGTGGCAGGTTGAAGGCCAAGGGTTCGTTTACAGATTTCCCTATTGCTGGTGAATCTATGGTGTTAAAAAAAAAAAAAAAAATGGAGTAAGTTAGAAAATATGCAACTGTCCCTTTCCAGGCAAATCTATGACTGACATTAGTGTCACACCCCAAGAAGAAGGTAAGTGAAGGTGATTCCTCCTCTCACTTTCCAAAGGGATATTTGCTATGCCTTGTGCAGTATTTGATGACTTGGGATTTCCCTGTCATGGAACTTAAACTACGATACCAGCAACTTCATATATACACACCCAGAGAGAGACAGAGGGGAATAGAGAAATGGAGGGAGGGAAGAATATATATATATATATATATATATTTATACATACACACACACACACACACACACACACACACATACAGAGAGAGAGAGAGTCAGTCAGTGGAAAGGGAGGTAGTGGAAATACCATAGCAAGCTTCCATGCAAGCCTGGCCGATGTTTAGAGAATCCCAAAGCTTCCATTGTGAGTTCATTTCTCCTGGACAAACTCATTTGTAGCTTGCCACCCTCTTCACATCTAATCTCAACATCTGAGTCCTAATCGGTGGGCGATCACACCAGGTCTAGAATGTCACATGACCCCAGTGGTCAGGTGATGTTGCTGCTGCGGTGGGGTTCACGAGGGCCACATTTTCAGCAGACGAAATGGAGAAAAGTCATGTGGCTTGGAGCTCCAATCTGCACATGGTGAGCCCAGAGTACTTGCTGCCTTCGTGTCCACAGGGCACAGGTCAGAGGAGCCTGGTGGCCAGGGGCACGTTGGTGCCATCCTGTGCAGCGAAGCAGAGACGGGGGTCCCTGTGGACCCTTAGTGGAGGAACCTCAGGTGGCCATGAACTGAGGAGTCTCTCTCACCACCGGGCTGTGTGTCATGAGACCTATCTGTGTGCTGAACACCAACAGCGCTAGCGCGGGGCGCGGGGCTCACGTGTTAAAAGCTCTGCCTCCAGCTGGTGGCGCTATTGGGAGCCGTTGGACACAGAAGGAGGAGGGGCCTGGGGAAGAAGCCATCATTGGGCTGTCTCCATAGGATATAGCCTATCTTTTCTTAGACCTTCCTCCCTCTGACCCCTCTCTCTCCTCCACCATGCTTTCCATCTAGACCCCCTGCCTCATCTCTGGCTAAAGCAGCAGGTCCTGACAGCCCTGGACTGAGCCCTCTTACAGCTATGAGCCCAAACACACTTTTCTTTCTTCCGGTTGATTTATCTTGAGTGTTTTGTCTCAGCAATAGAAAGCTGATGAATGTACCTACCTTTTCTCCCACCATGGAAGGAGCCCTGTGGCCCTAGATCTGGCAGTTGCATGTCTTTTCCTATAAATTACGCTCTTGCACTTTCCAACAGGACAACCACTACCCACGGGTGGCTCATGCGTACTTGAGATACGGTGGGTGTGGCTGTAGAAATGCATTTCGCTATTTCATTCAGCTTAATTTAAGCCCAAACGTGAAAACAGAGTGACGGTTCGATGATTGGAAAACTTCTAAGACTATTTGGAACAATTTGGGTATGTAAATTTACTTTTTTGACTGTACATTTCATGAGATCTAAATCCAGATCGAGTGTTTATCTCCAGTGAGGATTTGGCAAGTTAACACAAAGGGCTATGTTCTAAAACACTCAACAAGTTTCAGAGCCATCGTACACAAAGGACCTCAAGCAGCTCACTGAGAAGTTATATTTATATATATATATATATATATATATATATATATATATATATATATATATATATATATATATAATGTCTATATCACTGATAATTTACATACTGATTATTAACTATAGGATACAGCTATAATATTTTGGAAATGTATTTAATAAGACAAACTGCTACAATAATCTTTATTCATTTCTTTGCCATTAAAAATCTTTTAGATTTTTATTGATTTATCTTATGTGTATGGATATTTGCCTACATGTATTATGCACACCAAATGCATACCTGGTGCCCAAAAGGCTCAGAAGAGGGTGTCATGCCCCCCCCCCGGGATCTGGAGCTATGGATGTTGAGAACCACCATGGAGGTGCAGGGAACTGAACCGGGGCCCTCTGCAGGAGCAACAAGCGCTTAACGACTGGGCCATCTCTCCAGCCCCTCTTTGTAATGTTTTAATATGATCACTGGAAGATGTAAAATGACATGTGTGGTGGGTGTATAGTATGTCCTGTTGGGCTGCGCGGTTCTTATATGTGTGAACGTGCTTGCATGTGTGTGTGCACATGGGCTTGTGTGTGTGTGTTAGTACATGAGCTTGTGCACATGTGTGTATTTTAATTTTATGAGCATTGGGAGTAGTTTGGCTTCAGGTTACAAAGTACCCACTACAGAATTTAATGAACACTTTGGACAGTCACCAAAGCCTCTGGTCCTGATGCTGATCTGTAATCCTAACACTCCAGGGATGACACACTTTCTGAGGATAGTTGTCATGCTCAGGCTTTGGGGAGCCATCCCATATTCTGTAATCCTAGCATTCTCCCTTCTCAGCCCTGTGGGCGGCCCCAAGGAGAGGTGTCCACATCTGTGTCATGCCTCACTGACAAAAGTTTCTCAACTTTAGTCTGCTCAACAAATGTATATATATATATATATATTTGTGCAGATGAAATGTGACCAGAGCCTATGCAAGAGAGTCAGGAGTCTCCCTGAAAACACACCCCAAGGTTTTACACACAGTCATGACAACAGAAACCCCAGCAATCACAGGAACTGAATAGAAAATGGTGGTTAGAATGTCACCACCAGTAAGGAAATTTGTGTTCCCAAATGACCCAGGATACAGACAGTGGCATCTCCCTACTAGAACGAATATATGACTGGATGACTTGATTGTGTCTCTTCAGGAGAAGCCTGTCTTGTTGTATGACCTGAGGGGATACTTTCTGTAGTATGTTGTCCCTGGTACTGACCTGCGTGGTGGCTGATGCTCCGCCCAGACATGGTCCTGGCCTTGCCTTTGTGTCTCATGGCACGATTGAAGATGGAATTCCTCTGGATTGGGATGTGGCAGTGGGGTTCTTCATCTTGAGCCTCCTCCCCAGACTCAAGCGCCTCTGTGTTCTCCTGATGTATCTCATGCCTCGTCTCAGCTGGGCCATGATTGCTTTTCCATGAGCTGCTCACTGATTTCCTCTGAGGTTTTTCCCAGTCTTCAGAGTCTTTGGTCTCCATGGCAATAGACCTAATGGTTTCTCAGCAGGACTGCTGGGGTCAGCAACCTCTCTGATTTCATCAGTTTTCGGCCCTTCAGGACAGACAGAGAGCAATTACCAGTTAGAGTCGTTGGGCTAAGTGGTCCATTCAGAGCATACAATCCTTTCCCATTCGGGTTTGATGAGATTTGGGATAATCCACACACCCAACCAATTGCATCTTTGCCAATAGGAATTGCAGTGCAAACCGCTCATTTGGAGGCAGTCGTGTGTCATTGTGTAATTGAGGCTTGTTTATCCTGTTCATAGGCGGCACTTTAAGTAGAACGCTTAACGTGGTTCGTATAACTACCTGCAAGTAAATATTTCCTGAATAGCTCTAGATACAGAGAGCACCAAATAGCAAGAGATCTCTAACGGTGGGAGGGGACAGCCAGGGAAAATGCAGAAGGATGGGGAAAAGGTGCTGGCATCAACATGCCTCACAGGGGACTGTATGTCTGAGAAAACTTGAACTCCATGAAAACAAAGAGTTTCCATCATCTGGTGGCCAAGTGGAGCTAGGTTGGTGACCTCTTTGTGTAAGAAGCCTCATCCCCTGGGTGAAAGTCATGCATAGATGCTGTGTGTACAGGAGCTGTTTTCTAGGTGATAGGTGTGGGTCAGGGACTCGGGAACACTTCATCAGTTTCACGCCTTCTTCTATAAAACAGGGACAGTGGGAACTGAATGCATGACCCAGCTACACACTCCTTTTCTTACCCAGTCTCTCTCTCCAGCCCAACTGCACACCTTATCATTGGGGTAGCAGCCACGCACAGGGTTCCCTGGAGACGGAGAACGGCTCCACCTAAGGCAGAATTTGAAGCCTGAAGCCGGAACCCCACCCAGAATCACCCCCTGAGGCACATGCAGAGAGACAGCACCTTTTTCCCAGACCTGCCTGCACGCCTGCTTGCATCCCATGAACAGTCCTGTCTACACATAGCCAAGCAGATGCAAGCTGTGCGAAAGGCTCCGGAGGTAGGAGCTCGCTGAAACTACCTCAGAGCAATATGGCCAGGCATCAGAATGCTACCTGAGTTGTGCTGTCTGGGGACCCTCAATTCCACCCTGGTCACCATTTCTTTGTATTGTATGTTTGTTTTGTTTTCTAGACAGGGTCTCACTATGTAAGTAGATGTGGCTGTCCTGGAACTTGTTATGAAGACCAGGCTGGCCTTGAACTCTCAGAGATCTGCCTGCCTCTGCCTCCCAAGTGCTAAGATTAAAGGTGTGCATCACAATGCTTGTCTTAAATTATTTTATTTTATTTTACTTAGTTAGTTAGTTAGTTAGTTAGTTAGTTAGTTAGTTAGTTAGTTAGTTTACTTTTTTGTTTTGTTTTTTTTTAGATAGGGTCTCTCTACATAGCTCTGGATGTCCTAAAACTCATCATTTCTTGGCCCATAAAAATACTATGTGATCTGTGAGGTCCCTGTCTAGCAAAGCATAATGCTGCCACCTCAGGTATCCAGAGAAGGTTGTTACAGGTCGGATGGTTAATGCGCCATCCCTTGAAAGAGTCCCCGGAAGGGATGACACTCGTGCGGAGGAGCCCCAACCCCAGCAGCACCAAGGCATGATTCCCGAAACAGCAAGTCCAGTCTGGGTCAGCAGGGGCTGTGACTGCAATGAAGGCTAACCTGTCCCTGGGCACAGACAAGAACAAGGCATCTATCCCAGCCAGCTGGGCAGGGGACTGCCCTTGCTCTGTGGTGGTGAATAACAGCTCGGGACAGGGAGAGAGGAATCCGAGAAACAGGAGCAAGTAAGTCTCTGTCCTCTGGGGGCAGAAAGGGAGGGCTGGAATGGAAACCATAGCTAAGTATAAGGCAGGGACTTTGCAGAGCTTTCTCCAGGTAGAGCAGCTGCATGGGGCAAAATTCCTGGTCACTGGGGAAAGTAGAGAGCTTTGAGATGTGAGGATTCCGTGGTGCCCACCTGTCCTGGCATCTTTTCTTCCCCTGCCTGTCTGCCTCTCACCCAACCCCAGCTCCTCCACTGAGGCTGTGTACTCAGCTCAAAGCTGGATGTGAGATGAGAAGAAAAGGGTGTCACAGCAGAGGGAGAGGTGTGGTATAGGAGCCACTGTGGGGAAGCCAGAATTTTTCAGGCCCTTGAAAGGACTGACCCAACGGGTATCAGGATCCGAAGTCTAGGTGTGGCGAGGTGTGGCGGGTTGTGGCAGGCATCATACAGGTGTGGCAGGTGGATCCCTGGACTGGGGTCTGGGAGAGGAAGGGAATGTGAGGAATCCGGGATGGTGACTCAGGGAGCAAGAGCAGCCAGAGCTCTCTTGGTGGTGACCAGGGTAATGGGATGGTGAGGCCTGACAGAGATGTGTGTGGGTCAGTTTTGGGTTAGAGCATGTTGGTTTCAGGGTGTCAGGTTACGGAGAGTCCACAACAGGAACGTCTGATGGGAGCTGATGACTTTGCCTAGCTGCCATCTTTCTTCTCTGACCAGGGAGGATCCTGAAGCCTTACCATGGGCTCCTTGGCTTTCAAGGTCATTATTCTCACCATTGGGTCAGTTTGCTCTTAGTCTTTTAGTCGCTATGACAAACCCTACCAGTTCTTATAGTCATGCGACAGTAACATCACCACGGCTGATCTCAGCTGTCAGCCTGACGGGCGCATGTCTGTGAGGATTACTTAGATTAGATTGATTAACATGGACAGCCACAGCCCATGGACTGGGGTTGGGGACTGAATAAAAAGGAGAATCTGAACTGAGCACCAGCCTTCCCTGCTGTCTGCTTCCTGACTGCTGATGCAGTATGACCAGTCAGCTGCCTCACGCTCACATCTGCTGCCACGACTTCCCTTCCTTCCAGAAGGCGCTTCCTGCAAGGTACATTGATTGTCACAGGGAGAACAGTGGCTTATGAGTCATTTTAAGCTACATTTTTACAAATCGAAACGAGACTTACGTAGAGCAAAATGTACCATTTTCAGATTGTGTCTTATGAGTTGACCAAAGTGCACATTTCTGGGATTGCCCCAGTGAGCTCCCTCGCACCCCGTCGGAGCCCCTGGTAATCATGGTCAGTGAAGGTTCCCTCCTGGCTGACTTCTCCTGGTGGCCATGGAGGTAAAGCTAGGTGGCAGGTGACATCTTCATCCTGGTTGACCTCTTCATCCTACTGATCTGTATTTTCAAATCTGTCCACCATTGTCTGGTCAGTGCTGATCATCAGTATTCACTGTATGTGATCATGGACATGTGGACAACCCCAAGACTTCCTGCCAAGGGCTCTAAGCTAGGGCCCAAGACCCAGGTTCAAATATCCACCTCCAGCTTCATTAACATGGGGCAGGTCAGGCTTCAGTTTCTTGTCCAGGACACAGGGTGGGGGTGGAGTAGGTGGAGGTGGGTGGGTGTGAATCTATTGCTCTGCAGTCTCTTCTGGCTAAAGTTCTCCGGTTTAGAAAAGCTGAGGAGGCCATTGTGGAATGACTAGAACCAGGAGCAGATCATAAGCCATTCCAACCAATTTCTCTAAGAAAGAGGGGGGGGGGCTGTGAACCTTAAGTAAATCTATTTCCAGATCCTACCATCTTTGGTGGGGGGCATAGAGCGTCCAGAGAAGGAATAATCCGCAAAACTATGTGGAAATCAACTCACTCATACCTCAGTCTGGTTATTCTGTATTCACTAGCTACTAGAAAGCCCCACAGCCCTTTCATCCATCTACTCCATCATTTAAAGTTTCCCTTAGAATCCTGAGTAGTTTTAAGCCCCGGGTAGAGATTTGTGGGGGCAGCTTTGTGAATGGAAGGAGGGAGGGGCTGAGGGAGCAGTTGTGTTCCTCAACAAACATTGACTGAGTGTCTGCTGGCCTGTGTGCCCCTCCCTGTTTCTCTGGGGTAGGTCCTGGTCTGATTGGTTTGCTGTTGGCCCCCTGCTGGGCACCCAGTGGTTCATGGTAGACCTCTGCTGTCTACAGTAAGAAATGAGTCCTTGAATGACCTTTGTTACCCACAATGAGGCTCACAGGCAATAACCTTAGCTTATAGCCAGGAAGCTGCAGCCCTAGAGCACTAGTGTAGTGCCCAAGGCCACAACACTGGTAACTGGTTTGACTGAAATCACACCAGGCATCTGACTCACAGCTGGGGAGAATGTGGTCCATATGGGGAGAATGTGGGGTGAGTCAGAGGCAGGAGTGGCCATCATTTATATGCCTCGGTGCTTGAGGACATGAGCCAGAAGTGACTGTTAAGGCTCTCAGAGCTGGGCTGTGGGCCAGGGGCCTCCTTGCTGAGTCAGTGGCCTGTGAGATGGCAACACTTGGAGGGAAGGTCATAGGAGGAACAGGGAGCTGGCTGCAGGCCTGGCTGTGCCATGTGAAGCTAGTTTCTGGGATGAGGAGGCCCAGTGAATAGAAAAGGATCCTGACCCAGATTCTTTCAGGCTCTCCAAAGTGCAAAAATCACCTGAGATCTTGTTTAAGGCCAGATTCTGACATAAGAGATACTGGTAGAGGCCAGACTGCATTTATGAAAGGTTCTCTGGGCATGTTCTTTCTGCCAGCCTGTGGGGCACCCTTGAGCAAAGCCCTAGAGGCCAGAACCCCAGCATTGCAGCAGATATGAGATGGAGAAGCCAACTGAGTGAGCTAGCTGTACCCGCTGGTGCCCTTACTCTAGCTGGGTCTGAGGGCTGGGACAGAGAAGGGGAGGAGGGAGTGGAGGAGGAGGGCAGGGAGGAAACAGGTGACACAGTCAGGCTGCCAGGAGTAGCTGCTGTCATTATTGCTTTCTACCTCCTCAGTTGGGAGTACAGATGTGGGAATGAATCCTCTCTTCAGCAGTCACACAAAGTACTTTAGGGCCCGTTCTGCAGTAGGCTGCTCTGGGTGTTAGATAGGCCCAAAAGATGAGGCCCAGCCTCCAAGGGTCACGGGGGCCACCAGGAAGAGCAAGAAGCTGCAAGGAACAGAAACAGTAAAGAGCAGGTCACAGGAGGCCTCAGCTCAGAGGAAGATCCTAGGTGGGGGACATCTCCTGGTGTCGGGGTGTGTGTTGGGGAGGTGCCTGTTCAGTGA